AATAATTTTTAAAAAAAGTTTAAAGAATAATTTTCATATATTATTTGAGATATTAGTGTACAATAGATACATACACATAAGGCTTTATGATTTTCATTAGGAATGATATCTGCACAAATTATAATAATGTTTAAATTATAGTTAAGAGAATATTTCACATATTTTAACTCATTCACTCAAGTTGGTGCATGGATATTGTAACACCCCATTTTACATATATCACACATTCTCAACTTGAATAGAAACTCATTAAACACTCTGTTTGACACTCTTTTGGTGAAAACATCAACCAACTACAATTTTAATCTTACAAAGGGAAAGAAAATTATTTCAGCTTTTATTTGATGAAGTTTCTATCAATCTTCACATGCTTTGTTCTATCATGTTACACAAGATTGTGAGCAATTGCTATAGTCGACGTATTGTCACCGTACAAACTCATAATTTCATTTTGTTTAAAACCCAAATCTGAGAGCACATTTTTAATCCACAAAAGTTCACATACACCTAGTATCATGCCTCTGAATTATGCTTCAACACTAGACCTTGCTACTACATATTGTTTTTTACTCCTCCAAGTTACAAGATTCCCTCCTACAAAAGTAAAGTATCCAGAGGTAAATCTTCTATCATCTTTTGAACCTGCCAAATCTGCATCAATATACCCTTCTACCTTTAAGTTTCCATGATTTGAGAACAACATTTCTTTTCTAGGAGTAGACTTCAAATATCTCAAAATCCTCTCAACATCATCCATATGAAGCTTTTGTGGGTCATGCATAAATTGACTAACAACATCCACTGTATAGGTAATATCGGAATGTGTATCGGATAAATAAATTAATTTTTCTACCATCCTTTGGTATCTCCCTTTGTCTATGTTTGCTGAATTTGAACATTGAAAGAGTTTATGATTTTGTTCAATTGGTGTATTAACTGGTTTACTCCCAAGCAGCTCGGTTTTCGATAGTAAGTCAATAGTATATTTTGTTTATAGAAAAAAATGTCATGTTTTGATCATAGCTACTTCAATACCCAAAAAGTATTTGAGGTTTCCAAGTTATTTCATCTCAAATTCAGATGCAAGGTATCGTTGTAAACTAAAAATCTCATCTTGGCCATTTTCTGTAACAATCATGTCATCTACATATATAATCAAAGCTATAATTTTTCCTTTTCCTCTCTTCAAAAATAAGGTATGATCAAAGTTACTTGCTTTATAGCCAAAAGCCTCCATAAACTTGGTAAATCTTCCAAACCATGCTCTTGGGGATTGTTTTAATCCATATAGAGCCTTCTTTAATTTTCAAACCTTCCCAATTGAATATGTCATGACTGGTGGAGAATCCATATAAATTTCTTCTAAAATTTCTCCATGTAAGAAAGCATTTTTCACATCAAATTGTAAATGAGGCCAATCTTGGTTTGTTGCTAGCGACAAAAGTATTCTCACAGTGTTGAGTTTGGCTATCGGTGCGAACGTCTCTTGATAATCTACACCATAAGACTGAGTGTAACCTTTAGCCACAGGTCGTGCTTTATACCTCTCAATAGTTTCATCGGCTTTATAATTAATTGTAAATACCCATTTGCAGCCCACAGTTTTCTTTCCTCTTGGTAAGGACAAAAAATCTCAAGTGTTGTTTCTTTCTCAAGCTATCATCTCATCAACCATTGCTATGGTCCGTTTAGGATCTGCTAAAGCTTCTTGTATATTACTAGGAATAGAAATTGAAGATAATTGATATACAAATTATGAATATGACTTAGATAACCTCTGAGATACACATATCTATTAATGGAATATTTAACTTTGGCTTGGAGGTTTGGTTCATATTTAGTTGGAGGTTGACCACGGTTAGAACGGAGAGGAAGATTATATTGAACAGTAGTAGACTCAGTGTTTGGTGTGTTGGTGGTCTCAAGCATACAAGAATCAAGTTCATGATTGGTTTTGTCTAAATTAGTATTATCAAAGGTAGGATCAAGAGAAATAAGTTCATGATTAGTTTCACCTACATTAGTATTATCAGGATAGGATCAGAAGGTACCTCTGAAGAGTCAAGTTGAACCTGTGAAGAAGATTGAGCCAATTGGTTATGATCAAAAGACACTGTATTATCCAAAAAAGAAACGTCCATATTTAGAATTGGCTCACTTCCTGCAGAATAATCCTCACATGATAATTTATCTTCACAATATAATTTTATTTGAGATATCAAACATACTAACATCATGATTATGCATTTCACTTCATTGCCTTCTTGAAGTGTAGAATCAACATAAAAAATTTATGCTCATTAAATGTCACATCCATAGAAATATAAATTTTTTTGATGTGGGTGGGAAGCAAGATTAACCTTTTTGAGTGGTTCAAAGGCCAAAAAAACACCATTGAAAACTTTGGTTTTTTTTTTTTTTTTTATTTTATTTTTTTTATTTTTTCTAAAATTTTATGGGTTTAATTAATTTTTTTATGTATGTTTTTATTTTTTTTTTATTTTTTTAAAATTTTTTTTTCTAATGTTTTTAATTTTTTTTTTTTTCTTTTTTTCTTTTTTTTTTTAATTTTATTTTTTATTTCTCTCACTTTGACTAAAATGATCTAAAATTCTACAATTTCAATTTCATTCAACAATCCAACCAATTATAACACCACCATTTCACTAAAATACCATCAACAAGGTTATTCCAATCAAACACATACTCATACAAGTCATCAAGCATCATACAACCAATTTCACTCTAATCAAAACAACATTTTCACCAAGTCATTCATCTTTAACATCACTAAATCATATTTTCATTTCGAAATTTCATCAAGCATAATGGAAATTAAATACTTAAAACATAAAACTATCTTCTCTTACCTTTTTAGAAGATCAACTGCTTTAGAAACCCTATTATGCTCATACAGTTCAAGGAGCTCTATCTGTACCTACAGATCACAAAAACACGATCAGGGTATACCGTTATTACCACTGATCAACAGAGAATATTATAGAAGACTCAAACATTACATGCAAAATGAGTGGACCCACATGCAAGAGAAGAAAGAAAGGACTAGAGAAAAAAAAATAGAAACTTAACTTACTCAGACGAAGAAACTGATCGATCTGAATTGAAGAGCTCGCCGCTAGGATCAGTTTTATGACCTTAATTCCTCAATCAGATGAATAGAAAAAAAAACTTCTAAAAAAAATCAAAAAATTTTAAAAAAGTGATTTCTAAATATATTTTAAAATAATAAAACTAATTTATAACATAATTATTTATATTAAAATTATTTAATATTAAAATAATCGAATATCATTGTTTTATATCACTGCTATTTCTAAAATATATTTTTGTTACGTTACATCCTGTTACACCCTGCATACTACTGTTTTTCTAAACTCTAAAAAAGTTTAATTTCCAGTTTAACCCAATGAAAATAATTTCCCCCTCGTATCGGTAGGTAGAAAACTATTCATAATACCAAATTGTGGTAAAAGCCATCACATGACTACAGCAGAAAGATACCTCAGAATTCTTTTTACAGGAATCTAAAATCAAGTATTTCAATTGTCAACAGCGCAATATCTTTTATGCAAAATGTCTCAGTCTGATCTCTGAAACAATCTGAAACTAAATTATACAATGTTATAGTTTCGAGAACGTGAAGAAATCAAAATAGCAATCATGGTTGGAAAGACCAAAAATTCAAACATGTCGTTCCCAAGCAACAGTAACATTATTTGCTATGTAGTTTCCTCTTTCACTTCTTTATGTCACATCTTGGTGTGCCACCCTTCCACGTTCAACAAAAATGGAGAAAGAGAAACGTTACTGTCATGAACTTTTGTTTATGTTTTTGACTTTTCATTACATTTATTTTGATTTTATTCATTTTACACCTCAATTATTACATTAACTTTACATCTTTTATATATTTTTTTCTCTCTTCCATCACATCATCACCACCTCTATATCATGTTTTCTTCCCATCATTTTCTCACGTGTCAAATGACCATTCATGGTTTTCGCCTTTCACTGCTTTCAAAATTCATATGCTTTTGATAATTACTATTTTCTCAGTTTGAATGGGTTAATATGACAGAAGCTGTTGATTTAGATTTTAATATAAAAAAAAAAGTTAGGTTTAGATTTCGGTTTGAATTATTTCAGTGATTTCATTGATAATAAAGCAGTGAAAGTGTCGTGCCTATGTCATAACATGAACTCAGCATCAAATTTTTTTCAGGCACATCTCGTGTTCCTCTTTTATATGTTTCTCTCTATCGAGAAAAAAACATATAAAAATGGAAATCTTTTTGCCAAAGTGATAATGAATATAAATTCTCTTTTAACCTAATCAACATATTAGGTGATTATAGTTGGCAAAAGTCTCAACATGGTCAAATTCAGTCAAATTCCTTAATAGTGAAGTTAACAAATATTTCACGCAAATTAAATAGAGCAAATTCTTTTATGCATGTCCTGAATAACTTACTTTTGATGGTCTCTTATTTTAATATTGTTATCAAGAATTAAAATACAATCTTTTTGTACTGAATTTAAGTGTAAATTAAAAGACTTGTATGCATTAAAAACAAAAAGAAAAGTCAAATACAAAATAAAGGTGATGTATACTACTTTACATTTATTTGTGGTGAATCTTTTATTTTATCTTTCTAAAAAAAATCTCTATATATAAATATTAATTGAAAATCAGATAATAAATAGAAAAATAACATATAAAAAAATAAAAAAGCACATACATGAAATATATCTATAAATCATTATTGTTTATGAGACTAATATAAAAGATACTAAAAATGGTATTAATTTCATTCAATAAAAAAAATAAAAAATAAAAATAAAACCAAAGATGCCTTTCTCTTACCCCACTAGTAACAAGTCATGAACTTGGTGACATTTTGGTATCAATTTGCTCTTGTGTTTATGTATTTAAACCTCTCATCACTCTCATTCTATATCCCTCATCAAAACCAAAACAACTTAGTACTTTAAATCAACATCATGGCTTTTCCTCCACACATAGTAGAAGACTGCATGGGCCTCCTCAAACTCTTCAGTGATGGCACCGTTTTTCGTTCCAATATTCAGTTCCAAGAACAACCCTCATCCACCCAACAACACAACAACCTCGTACTCTTCAAAGATTACATCTTTCACAAGAAATTTAACCTCCACCTCCGTCTCTACAAACCTAAACTCGATAACGACGATAATGGTGCTGAGAGCAAGGAGAAGCTACCGGTGCTAATGTTCCTCCATGGTGGGGGCTTCTGCTTCGGGTCGCACGCGTGGCCGCACATTCATGCATGTTGTGTACGTCTCGCCGTGGATCTCCGTGCGGTTGTGGTGGCGCCGGACTATCGTCTGGCACCGGAGCACCGCCTTCCCGCAGCGGTGGACGATTGCGTGGAGGCTGTGCGGTGGCTGCAGAGGCAGGGACGTGGCGGGGACTCGTGGGTGAGCCGCGTTGACTTTGAGCGCGTCTTTGTGTTTGGCGACTCGTCTGGCGGGAACATTGCGCACCACTTGGCGGTTCAGCTCGGATCCGGTTCGAGAGAGATGGACCCGGTTCGAGTACGAGGTTACGTGATGATGGGCCCATTTTTCGGTGGGGTGGTTCGGACCAAGTCTGAGGTGGGCCCTCCGGAAGAAATGCTGACACTTGATTTGCTGGACAGGTAAAGGTTGAAAATTCAGCTTATCTGTGAGCATTCAAGATTTTCATCATTCAAATTCACTTTTCAAAAGCATCATTTTTTTTATCATTTATGTAAAACAATATTTTAATATTTCAAAAATATCAATAACTAAAATATAATAGTAAATTATTATAATATCCTCAACTAATTATTATAATTTAAATTACATTAAATATATTTTTAGTGTTTATATTTTCACACAAAAAATTGAAATTTGTTTATATTAAAAGTTTAAAATATTTTAGTTTCTATAAACTTTTAAAAGGGAAGAATTACAGTTCTTTTAATTTAGTTATTTTAACTTTTTTTTCACTTGTCAAACATTATTAGTTGATATTAAAAAATTGTCAATGATATAAATAATTCAAATACTAATAAGAAACATACAAGTAAAAAAGTTAATATAATTAAATTAAAATAATTATATTCATTTATTTTTAAAGTTTAAAAACTTAAAATATATTAAAATTTAAAATTTATACAAACATATTTAACTCTGTAAATTATTTATAAAATAAATTCAATCTGCTACATTTTTATGCATGTATAAATTTTTTCATGTATTGGAAATATCAATATAGTAATCATCTGAAATAAATAATCTTTTCTATTAAATGTGAACAAGACATCGTCGTATCCTATGAGCACAATGTATTAATCTAACCTTAAAACAATATAAGAATTTATATGATGTTTTGATGTCTGGAATGTGAGGAAATCAAAAGATTCATCATGGTTTGAAGGACGAAAAATTCAAACATGTCATTCCCAAAAATGTTTGTAATGAAATATCTGAGTTGAATATTCTAAAGTTCGATGGGTATATTAAATGCAGTGGAGAAAAAAATGAAAAGAAATAAAAATATATAGTTGTCTATATTATTAAGTACAGCATTAGATTTTTCTTGTCTTCTAGCTTAATAATATTTAAAGAAAATGAATTAATATGATATATAGTCCAAGTGTAAAGTAACTTTTTTCTTAGTTTGAAATACCTAATACCTATGATAGAATAGAAGTGGGTACACGATGAGAAACTGATGAACATTTGTACAACACAAAAAGCAACATTATTTAGCATGTCGACAATCACTTAAAATTCAATTCTTTTGTCATATCCTCAAACAATATAATCATTTTAAAACTTTCATCGAATGCCAATCTACCTTTTTAGAGCCTTGCCTGATTCAACGAAACACATCATGTGAATTCTTCAAACTTATTCTTATCATAACATTAAATTTAAATTATACATATAATAAAAATTCATTAAATTAGTTATATTTAATTCTTTATATACAATTATCATAACACTAAATTTAAATTTAATCCGCTAGAAAATATTTTTTTCATTACTTATAAAAATATCTCTGTATCTAAGTTCATTTTATATAGAAAAATGTTTCTTTAACAATTTTTTTTGTCAACATTTTGATAACATCTTCACTCGTGATCGATATGTTTTAAATATTTTTTTAAAATTATATTCAAACGGGTAATAGAATAGTGATATGTAGTTGTTAAAAGTTATTATGAAAAAATTGTTAAAAAATCAAAATTCTATTATATAAATGTAAGTAAAATTTGTTGTCAAAAGTTATTATGAAAAAATTGTTAAAATATCAAAATTCTTTTATATAGATGTAAGTAAAATTTGTATGTAATACTTCCATTATTTATAGATTCGAATTTGTATGTAAAATATCGATAGATAAATGACCGTTTGTTGAAACAGATTTTGGAGATTGTCTATACCTATTGGAGAGAATAGAGATCATCCATTGGCAAACCCCTTTGGCCCTAACAGTCAGAATCTTGCAGACGTGAAGCTTGATCCTATCTTAGTGATAGTTGGTGGCAATGAATTGCTGAAGGACAGAGCAAAAGACTATGCAACAAGGTTAAAGGAACTAGGGAAGAACATTGAATACATTGAGTTCAAGGACAAGGAACATGGTTTTCTCACTCATGATTCATCCTCACAAGTTGTCCAAGACCTTCTGCAAATCATCAAACACTTCATGCTTCAAAATTCTAGTTAGAACATCATCGAAGGCTCTTAGTTACACTATGTTCTTGTCAGGGATCATCTAATTAAACTTTATCTATGCAAGCTTTCTAGTAAAATGGTAATAAAATTCACGTTTGAGAAAAAAAAATGTTTATTAGTTGCCTATCTTTTAAACTTTTATGTGTTTTCTTTTTATATAACAAAAATTGAATTTTCCATTTGCAAATGATTGCAATGTATAATTATACACTTAAAAATATTTATTATAGTGCAGAAAACTAATATATCACTCACCATATTTGTTTGTATCGATAATTTTTCATGGAAATTGATCTTGTTTTAAACAAATACTTGAGTCCAAATAATTAAGAAACAGAATTTTACTAAAAGTGACGGATTAGATTCTTTCGGTCATATTGACAAAAAATGTAGATTTTGATTGATATTTTAAATTGCAGTAATTATACTCAAAATTATTTGCTATAAGAAAACCCTATTAGTAATAAGTAAACTTTTATACTGATAAATTGAATATTTCTTTTGGTACAACAATCATACTAAGGAATATGTTAAAAATAAACAAAAACAGAAGTGTATTCTGTTACTGTGTGTGATTTGTGTATAAATAGACTTTGTATCATTCATTTCAAGGTTAATAAAAATTTGAAGAATTATACAGAATACCTGAGTGCATTTGTAAGTCTTTGACCGATTGATTATGCATTTTTGTGTTGCTCTGCTGTGTGTGGGGGTGATCTGAGGAAGAGGGCTGAAACCCTAGCAGAGCTCGGTTGTCTTCTTTCTCTCTCTGATTCTCAACTTCTCTTTCTGCGTTTTGTTTCTCTCACTATCACGTGCACACATTACGTTTAAAAGTGAAAGTAATATCTGAGTGTGGGTAGTTACTTTTCTGCCCTTTATTCTAATAGAATAGTGTCAGACCTCGTAAATACGCACCCAAACCCCTCCTGTCAGCTCATTAAAAACGCACCCAAAACCCCTCTGAACGGACGCCAGGTGTCAAGCAACGAGGATCAGAAATCAGAGAAATCAGATAGTGAGATGCAGGTGTCAGCAGAAGAGCGGACGCTCGTTTTGACGTGGGAAGAAAATGATTTTCTGAAAACTTCTGTCCCACTCTCTTCTGCATGCAACCTTCTTCCCAAAACTCTGAACTTCCCATTCCTCTTCCTTCTCACTAGAAAATTTATCTTCTCTATAAGAAAACTCACCCTTTCTCTTCTCCGATCATCATTTAGGCACCGTATGAGCATTTCCGGCGTCCCAAGCTTCTATTTAAGCCGAATAGTTCCGGATTCTGAAACTGGTAAGTTTCTCGTCCTTAGCTGTTCGTTCATATGAACATGCAAACTAAGCTCTGGTTGCATGCGGTCACATTGTCTGAACCAATCTTGGTTTTTTGTAACTTGTTTTAGTTTGAAGAGTTTGGTTGAGCGTTGAGGGTAGAAGAAATCTTTTTTCCGTGAACTGAGTTTTAGTCTGAAGGACATACGTTCACACTAGAGGTAAGGAAAGCTTATTTAATTTAATTTATATGTTGTTGTACTGTATGAACGTCCGTTATTTGACTGAATGAATATTATGCATGAAGGTTGATATGTTTGGATTGTATGAATGTGAATATGAATATTTGTTTGGAGTATGATTTATTAACATGATATAGATTTTTAGGAAGTACGTAAATTGATGTTTTATGTGAAGTTATAAGATTATGAAATGATGTATTGAAAAATGAGTTGAAGATAAATGAGATCTGAATATGAAATTTTTACCATGATAAAGTACGTTCGTTACTGAACGGTCATTGACCGTTCGGTTTTTCCTGGTAAACCTAGTTAAAATGGGATTCTTTCATTTGGAGAGAATCCTAGTGTAGGACGAGCGCCCTCGTGTGGTAATACTATGACTGAGCGTTCGGCCAAGCATAGTTGGGCCTAAGTCTACTATGATAAACTCAAAATATATATTTATGTAATTGTATATTATTGTTGTTCGTAAACACCACTTCAGTAGTATCTTAATATATCCATCAAACCTTTTATTAGAAGTTTAATAGTGTTCGGTCTTACACCTAGTGTTCATACTGAGTAGTGCTCGGTCTTATACCAAGCGCTCGTACTCATTCTTGTATAATCAATCTTGGTGAAATAGCGTTCGTCCAACTTCAGTAGAATTTTCCTTTACCATGTTCGGTCATTTACTGGCATTGGATTTCTGTGAGTGAATTACTCTAAATAGGGCTCGTTAACGTCTTGACGTGTCTACATTCATTGGACACGACCTAGAGCCTCCATCCTCGATTTATTCTTTGAGTATTGGTTTGAACTCACGAGAGTCAGTTCATTCAACTGATGTAAGTAGTGAATAACGTTCGTCATATAGAATATGATAGTGCTCGGTTTATTCCTAAAACCTAATCGTAACTCTCTCGGTATTATTCTGATCTGGAATGGACGACTTCTTGGTCTCCTTCACAATGTTCATCCTCGTTCTTAGTGAGGACTGAACGTTCGGTATTTGATGGTCTTAATATTGATGTTAAAGATGAAAGTAAAATGATGAATAATAAATGATGAAAAGTATATGAGATGAAGGAAACGTTGTGATTTTTGAACGAGCGTTCCGGGAAGGAACGACTCATGTATGACTATTGAAATTGTAAAGTATGAATGTGGTAAAGCTTAGCTGGCGGTTCATCCTGATGTTCCGTGAGTACTCGTCCTCACGTAGAGGAGGGTAGGTCATGTGTGGGAACGGCAGGAGGTCCTAGTCCTTAGGGGTACTTTGGACGGAACGGACTAACCTCGGGTGGCAGCTGATGAGAGTATTCCAGTTACTACATCACCCCGGTGCACGAACGTCGTAGCTCCACAGAATTCATACCGTCCGGACAGTCAGTCTAGTGATAGGCCTTGCTTGAAGTGTATGATGAAATGTATTTGATGTGTCTGAATATGTGAAATGTATGTGTAATACTTGAATTAAATTACATAAGCTTACCCTGTGTTTTCCTTGTGTTGTCT